ACACTTTCACCAACTTCACCTCATGTACTTCTTACAGCAGTCCTTAATTTCCCCGGCCAGGTAGCATGACACATCCACAGGTCCTGGAGGTGAGGCCATGGATATCCTGGGGGGCCAGGGTGCATCATTCTGTCTACCACAGGCTTGGAAATTTGGCAAGTGGGGAAGCCATTCCCATCGGCGTTCCCTCTCGTCTGCATATTCCAGCAGAGGCCGTGCCTAATAAATACTGGGTGGGGGGCCTACTACTGGTAAGGGCTCCCAACAATCCCATCTGCAGGCCGGGGACCTCTGTCCTGGATTAAACCCTTCTCTGCAGGTAGGGCCCGAATCTGTGAATGCAGTGCTTGGTGCCAGGAGGCCGCCTTGTTCCACACAAATCACAAAGCCAAGCGGTGCCCTGGGCTCTTGTGACACTCTCAGTGAGGAAGGAGGGCTCAGTTTGGCAGGCTGGTCAAATGCTAGGTTGCATAGTTACATCCTCACCCCGTGGGACTCCCGATTCAAGCTGAAAGTGGGACAGCTCTGAGCACCAAGGCCAGGGCTCCAAGTGCAGACAGCAAAGCCAGTGCAGTGACTGAATCCTACTGGGAGGACAGTCTCAATACCTAAAACGTTCATAGTTTAGGGGACAAAGAGAATTGAGTAACAAGAAGGGAAAAACCTGTTCCTCCTTCCTGCTTGGTTCCTTGTATCACATTAGAGGGTGATTTACATTTTATTCAAGTGTCAGGCTGACAATTTACCATGCAGCGTTAGTAATTTTGCTATTTTTATCACTACGTAAATCAATAAAAGCCACTTACGTTCAATAAGCATTCTGATGGTTTAAATTTAAAAAAAAAAAAAAAGATTTCCTTTATTTTTAGAGAGAGGGGAAGAGAGGGAGAAAGAGATGGAGAGAAACATCGATCTGCTGCCTTTTGTATGTGCCCTGACCTAGGACCAGGGACCACAACTGCAACCCAGGCATGTGCTCTGACCGGGAATCAAACTGGAGAGCTTTCACCTTGCAGGAAAACACCCAACCAACGGAGTCACACTGGTCAGGGCGCATTCTAATGGTTTAGTTAACAGGGGTGTCCAACCTGCGGCCCACAGGCTGCATGCAGCTCAGGATGGCCATGAGTGCAGCCCAACACCACATCGTAAATTTACTTAAAACATTATGAGACCTTTTTTTTGTGATTATGTGCCACAGTGTATTTAATGTGCGGCCCAAGACAAGTCTCCTTCCAGTGTGGCCCAGAGACACCAAAAGGTTGGATGAAGAAAGGCACCAAGTAATTCCAAAGTCCTCCTCCTGATCTAAGACACGGCAAGTCTGACCCTTGTCTTCCTGGTGCTCTCAGTGACACTTTCATGACCCAGGGTGCCATTCAGGTAGAGCATGTAACTGCCTGTGCCCACTGCATGCTGAAGCCTGAGGGTGATGAGCACAGAGATCACTTGCAAGGACAAAGAAAGGGACTCGGGAGTGGAACCTGTCCCAGAGCTGTGCTTTAAGCTTTGAAAGCATGCAATTCACTGGAGTTCAAGAACTTCTGGTGGGTGATGAGGGGACACCGTGCCTGGAGGAGCTGGCAGGAGTTCAACAAACCCTTTGATTGTCTGGGAGCCCAGCCCCTCGGCTCTCCTGGGCATGTTTCTTTTCCTTCCCAGGCTGCCCGTTCAGAGACCTCCACACTAAAGTTCTCTTTACTTGTCTGTTATCTGGGGCCTATGTCTTGTCATAAGCCACTTCTATGTGTCCCCTTTGATGCTCCCTTCTCAGCTGGCTGCCGCTCGTTGGCTGAAGTAGCCACTGATGACTGTCAGGTAAAAGCTGGAGCCCCGGAGTGGCAGCCCTGAGGAGTGACAGGAGATCAAGGGCAGGCTTGGCATTCTGAGTTTACTATTGGCATTTATTATTTCTCAGAAGCCACTGGTGACACAGAGGCTCACAAGCTGACATGGTCTCTACTTCCCAGGCTCAGAAGGTACACACTGCTATCAGTTACTTTTAATAACCCTGAAGATATCCTGGCCACAGCCTGCTGCAAACAGTCACGGTCTGCGTGGCCGGTCAGTGTCCTGCAGGGCTGCTCCCCGGAGCTGGAGCCAGAGCCAGAGCAGCTCTGCTGAGGTTCATGGTTTTCCTATTCGCACAGGGAGGTGATCTACACTTCGCACGCTTGTCTTCTCTTGGCTGAGGCCTAATCGAGTCTCATCTCTCAGTACTTTTCCTATTTCCTTTGTAGAACCAATCTGTTGCTTGTGTGCGAATCCTTGAGGGCTGTCTTTTTTTTTTTTTTTTTTAAATAAAGAACTTCCTGGAAATATCTCAGCTTTGGGACCTTTCTTTTTTCAGGTTAAAAGGGAAGGATTCTGGAAAGGTGCTGGGTTCTCTGTATTTTTCCACTTGTCTAATTTAAATTATTTAAAGCACCTATTTCCAGTTACTGGGACAAGAACAGAATTGCCTAACCTGCACTCAGCCATTTGCATACTACCTTTTAAAATACATACATATCTTCACACAATCTGTGATATTCTTCCTTGATATTTCACATGAAATAGCCCATACTATCCTTACCCTAATAAATATTTATAAAATATTTGGGTTTCATATTTTTTAAAATTAAAATGTAATTAAAAAAAATCTTCACCCAAATATATCCTTTATTGATTTGAGAGAAAGGGAGGGAGGGAAGAAGGAAGGGAGGGAGACAGAGAGAGAGAGGAAGATCAACTAGTTGCCTCCAATCATGCCCTGATGGGGGATTGAACACACAACCTAGCTATGTGCCCTAACTGAGAAGTGAACCCACGACCTTTTGGTGTACAGGACAACGATCCAACCAGCTGAGCCACCTGGCCAGGGCTAAAGATGTAATTATTAAAAAGAAATATGTCCCTGTCTACCACCTAAAATTATTGCCTACATGACTAAAGTGAGCCTCCCACTTGAATACAGTTGGGGGAAGAGATTTACGTGAAGAATGTTATAGAAAGTAATCAAATACTATTTCAACTTAGCCAAAGGTGAAGCATTCCTATGGCCTGTTAACAATAATTTTGGAGATTAAAGAAATTTAACTTATTCCAGAATAGTGCAAAATATCTCACTGCCTACAGGTCAACAACACTTACATAAAATAGGAAATTTATAAGCATTATTAAACCCTCTTTTTTAAAGAATCCACCTGAATTCTTTCTTTAGCAGTGGGCCTGTTACCCACTTAGTCTTGCATGATCACATCCAAGCAGTTACAGCCTGGGGAGAACCAGAAGACACTGCTGTCCGCTTCGTCCCAGTGAGCCGGTGGAACTAGAAAAATGCGAACAAGTGCTCTCTTCTTTCCAGGCCCCACCCAATTCTTCCACCTCCAAATGCAGAAGCAAGCTCAGCTGTGATCTGTAATAATTCCACTAACCCTGCAACAAAGCATTATATTAAATTGCCTCACACAGATTCTTCTTCTGCTACAAGGGGAAATGGACCTCCTAAGGTCTGCACTTCACGCTAATAGATTTACTAACCAAATACATGTTTACAGGAGACCACAAACAAGCAAAATAATTTGTCGGCATTGTGAACTCTCCAGAGAGGGTGCTACAACAAGATTTTTTCTTTTCCCCAATAGTACTTCCTCTAAATATTTTAGTTATAGAGAGCTTTAGCTTTAAGAAAGAGTTCTCAAATGGTTCATCTTTCTGTGGAATCTTCACATCAATACTTTAAAAAAAATTAATGGCAGGAACAAAGCTGACTTGAGCTGGCACTGCAGTGGGAAGCCTTTTGTCACCTCTGGTATAAGTCGCCATGCAGGACACAGGGGGACGCTGAGAAGGACGCATTCAAGTCAGTGGCAGAGCCTGGGCCACAGCCCAAGTCCCTGACAAATAATTCAGTGCTGTCTCCATCGGCCTAAGTGTCCCAGCCTTCCCCGAGAGAATGCGAAGACTTCTCTTCAGCAAATTCCATTTCTGGGAGTAACTTCAGTGCCAGTCTCTTTGGGAGGCTGTGCTATTTCTCTGAATCCAGAGAACTATGGGAATCACCTACATCCTTGTAAACAACATGCTCTGCTAAGAGAACAACAAGAAGCTGGACCTGCGCTGCAAATATGGGGCTTTCCAACACAGGAAGTTTAAACCCCTAAAGAGTACAGTGACTGCAACCCCTCACATGCACATTCCATGTTGTGTTGCATGAACCCAGATATGGAAAGAGGTCAGTCAAGTCTGCCAGAAAAACCCTTCAACAGTCAGATTTGGGGCTGTTGGAACCCACTGAGGGGCACTGGAGTCTGGTAACATAGCACATCAGGACTTGAAGGGATCCTGGCAGTCATCATAGCCCAGACCTCTCCTTTAGGAGATTGCTCGTGGTCACAGAATTGGTTTGTGTCAGAGTAAGGACTAGAAACTTGGGATGCCAAATATTCTTCCTATATGGTAGTGTTTTCTGAAGCTCTTTTTCATCTCTGACGGCAGCCGCAATGAAGACCAGACAAGCCCTACAACCCCAACTGCTCAGCTGAACCTACGCGCTTAAGCCCTGCCTCCTATTCCCAGGCAACAGCAGACTGGCGGGGAAGCCCGCTCAGCCAAGGCCAGGAGAGCTCCCATCTGCACACAGAGCTTCTGTGCATCACCAGGGACTCTGCTCCAAGGTGCAGTACCTAGAAAGCTGCCTAACAGGGGAAGTCAAGCAGATCCCTGCGGCCTGCTGAATGGAAAAAGATGCATAGCAACAGTCAAAACAACAACAAAAACTACTCAAGCCTGAACTCTCTGTGTTCGTGCTCTCAGAAGCACCCCCAAGGAGGACTCAGGAACCCTTCGGCAGCCCTCTCCTTCCTGCTGTGCCAGCTGCCATCCCTAGGCATGACGCCAGGGCCTCCCAACCTCTGCGTGGTTAAAGCACGCCCACCCGCTCTAAACATCACCGCCTTATTCCTCAAGTCACAAGAATCGACGCTGAACCTAGCCAAGCCCAGGTGGAGCAAGCTTACCTGTCAGCATCTCCGAGGCCCAGGGAGGTGTTTCTTTGCAGGGTCTCCCGCACGACAGCCATCCCATCGGGGAGCCGGTTCAGGCGACGGGTGTAGAGGCCAAGTCCGCCATCGGTCATGTACCTTTAAAAGGAGGACGGTGCAAAGGTATGGTCAAAAGCAAGCCCTGTACAACCTTGTTGTTCACATCCAGGAGGCCTGTGTGCCATCCTGTGCTCTAAGGGGAAGGGACTGAGGCTCTCCCAAGGCTCTGTCACTGATCACAGCCTCAGGCCCACACCGCAACTGACTTAACCTAAAGGATCACCAGCTTGGTGGCAAAAATAGGACTCAGCTTAATTAACTCAAACTCATAGGACTCTATGAAGCAGAAGGGAACTAGTGAATAATATTAACTATCAAATGTATTCATGACATTCTTTTTTAGTATCAGCAGTTATACAGGCAGGTTTTTCACCTAAGTGAATGACACTGGCAAGTCACAAGGAAATCACAGGGAAAAATATTACAAAACAGGGCAGTGGAGGATGCAGGCAAGCTTTTAACAGCGGCAGAAAGAAATGATAAGAGGATCAAAGAGCCACCTTTGCCATCACAGGCAAGTCATTTCTCTGGGTTTTTCACTTAAACTATGGGAATGTATCTCAGCCGTCCTGCATCACAAGGCAAACGTGAGAATTAGTGAGGGAAGGCAAATGAAAAGTGCTTTGCAATTTGCAGCCAGACCATATAAATGAAAGACATTATTAGGGTTGCCATCATCTTGAAGTATCTACACTGGTGCATTTCACCTTTGATATGGATGTGTTCAGGTGGTTGTCACAGAACTATCTTTTGATGAAATCAGTGTTGTCCAGGGGAGGGGGTGACCCCTGGAACTTTCTCTACAAATGGCTGATGGTCCACAGACCAGGCCAGTTCCTGAGACCTTGGCCATCAGTAGGAGGTAGTTCAGGCCCAAAGCAGATTTACCTTTCTACCTTGGCTCCTTCCCAACACCCAGTCAAGGAGATTGCTGTGCTATTACCGGAGGAGAACAGAAGGGCAAAGCAACAGCTGGGCAGAGCAAGAAACCAAACTCAGATACTCTTAATACAGGGGCCCCAGGGGAAAGACTTGCAAGGTGTCTGAAAATGTAAGTGTTTTACATTTCAAGTCAAAGAAGACGACCCATGAGTAGTTTATTCTCCTGAAACAGACAGCTGAGCTACATCATGAAATGTTTCACAGCATTTAATGTTTTAGCTTTAGAATATAAGGGGTAGATCCTAATGGTTTTCAATCCGTGAATTTTCCCCCCTATCTTTTGCAAACTTTTGGGATAGATATATTCTTAGGAAAATGGAACTGGAAGATGCTGTGGAGGTGGTCCAGGACCAGTGAGTTCAAATTAGGGGCAGAGAAGAAAAGTCCTCCCTGGAGCCATCCTGGCTGAGAAGGAGCTTCCAGTGTGGGCCAAGAGGACGTCCCCTTAGAGCAGCTTCAGCGGACATGTCTGAACTGAACGTCTCTGATATCCTGACCTTGCCCCCCCGCCCCCAGTTCTGCCATGAATGACCACAGACGATGCCATGCAAAGTAGTGAAATATTGTTGGAGTCCATCAAGCCAATAGATTGTGCTATGCCAAGAAAACAACAGCAGCAGCAAAGACTGAACTTTTCATTCTGTTATACCATGTTGAAAACAAATAGCACTCTGAATAAACTAAAAACTGCTGAAATTGTCTTCTCAGTCCACTCTCCTCCCTGGATAGAAGGACCCTAATTTTGTTCTTTTCTGGGAGGGTTGGAGGGCCATGAATCCTGGCTAGTCTAAGCCAACTGTAGGACTTCTACACCTCTTACCACCTAGTTTAGAAATGGGTTGTATGATCTAAATTTAGCGAGTGAAGTCAAGTCTGCTTCTGGGAAAGATTTTTCACTCTTAAAAAAGACATAAGAAAAATAATATGGCCTAAATGTCTTGTGTTCTCCCTAATCCGTATGTTGAAGCTTCATCCCAATGTGATAGTATTCGGAGGTGGGACCTTTGGAAGGTAATGAGGGTTAAATTAGGTTACGAGGGCAGAGACCCCCTAATGTGATTAGTGTCTGTATAAAATGAGAAAGAGACTAGACCTCTCTCTCTCTCCATCCTGTGAGGAGGTAGCAAAAAGGTGGCTGACTGCAAGCCTGGAAGGGGCCCTTACTAAGAATTGAATCTTCAGGCACCTTGATTTTAAACTTCCCAGACTCCAGAAGTGTCAGAAATAAATGTTTGTTATTTAAGCCTAAATAAATAATAACACTGAACTTTGTACTTTAAGTGGTGAATTAGCCCTGGCTGCTGTGGCTCGGTGGACTGAGCACCAGCCTGCAGACAGAAAGGTTACCAGTTTGGTTCCCAGTCAGGGCACAGGCCTGGGTTGCAGGCCAGGTCCCCGACTCGGGGAGTGTGAGAGGCAACCGATCAATGTATCTCTCACACACTGATGTTTCTCTCCCTCTCTTTTTCCCTCCCTTCCTGTCTCTCTAAAATAAAGAAATAAAATCTTTTCTAAAAAATGGTGAATTTTATGGTATATATATTAAATCTCAATTTTAAAAAAAGTTATGACAATTATAGTTAAATAATTCTTTGCGCGATTACTTTTTAATGCTTCCCTTTCCCACACAAGACAGTAACCTCCTTGAAGGCAGGGACTATTCTTATTTTGTTCAAATCTATATTCTAAGTCCTTAAACAGTGTTTTTGTTGAATGAATGAAGCCCAAAGACATAGTCACTAGGTGGGATTTAGCAAAAACTTTTTGGAAGGACAGTAATCACAGCTTTCCCTTCCTCTTAAATGTCAGCAAACTTGACATCTAAGACACATGGCAGGGCAAATTCAACTGCCTGTCAACTCCCCATCTGTCTGTCCGTCCATCCACCCATCCATCCAACAGATGTAGTGACTCGGGGCCCAGTGGTGGGCTATGTGCCCACCCCCCACAACTAGTACATACAGGAAAAACCACCTACACCCAAATACTTTGCCAGAGGCTAGACTTTCTAGAACAAAAATGTCCTTTCAAGGACAACTCAGTGAAATCTCTTTAAAACATAACCTTGGACCATTAAGCAAGATTTCAGTAAAGTCGTTGAGGGCATATAAATAAACAAAAAATTTTCAACTGCGGGGGATCCTGTCAAAGGACAAACAAACTAATTTTAGCATTCATTTTCTCTGCTGGATTTTTATTGCTGGTGAAACAGTACACATACAGTCAGGCAATTACACGCACCCGGGCATGTAGACGAGGCCCACACATACACCCCCCAGCTTTCTGCAAAGGCCAGAGAGCAGAGCTTGATTAGCATTCCAGACAGGGAATACTGAGAGGTGCTGCAGCCCCGCCTGGCAACACCTGTGTGCAAGGCCATCTTGTTGAAAAATGGCCATCGAGGAAAGTGGGAGGGCCCTGGAGGGGTGGAACTGGATGTGATAACTTGGCTTGTCAACTGGTGCTAGAAACTCTGCTTTTGTTTAAAGAGAGTAGAAGGGAAAGGCAAGGCTAAATCCAGATCCTCTGCCTTCTCAAATGCACCTGAAAGTCAGGAAGCGGAAGGAATGCAACTAATCTGACAATGATTCAGTTTTGTTGCAAATCTCTTTCATTCATATGTGAGAGAGAAAGACTCAGAGAGAGAATGGAGAAGAGATGAAGAAAACGGAAAATTTACTTCTTCTAGAGGTTTGCAAAAACATATATAATTATATATTTTTAATAACAGTCTTCAAAATAAATTCTGTTGCATGCTCTCTCACTAGCAGATAGTATAGCACTAGAGACAGCTGTCACTAGACCTGGCCTCATACTCAGTCTAATTTGACATATTCATATTTAAATTATTACCCACTGATTACAATAGTCTGATTTACAGAAAAGCTGCATATTTTTTTAATAACTCTTCCAGCTTCAATAAAAAAGACACATTGTTTTTTTGTTGTTCAACCAACTTTGTATAGGAATTGGCTACCGAATACGTTAATATAGACGGCCATAATCAAGTTAATCCTTGGAGAAAGCATCATTCGCCAGGGAGGCGGTCACTGCTGCGTTCATCTGAAACACCAGCCCTTGCCCGGCAGTTAAAAAGGGCTCAGGGAGGCCAGGGAGTGAAGGCCGCACCCCGTCTTGGAGCTTTTTGTCTGTGGGCTGTTTTCCTTGCTATTCAAGGTCGAGGCACCCCGGGGCGGCCCACGAGTGTCAGAGTTAGAAAGAGGGTTCTGTTGTCAGACAAACCTGGGTTCAAAGTCTCCTCTGCCCCTTGCTAGCGAAGCAACCTTGTGCACATCATTGTTAACAAGAACTAATGGTTACTGATGTTTGCTGGGTAGTGTGTGAAGTGCTTCACATAAGCTTCAAAAGAATCCCGTCACGTGTATTATTGTCTTTATTTTTCAGAGGAAAATGAACCTAGGGTCAAGATCGCTGTGTAAGTAGGTGGGTTCAAATCCCAGCTTTGTCACTTTTTGGGTGTATTTTCTTTGAGTTTCAGTTTCTACGTCTTGCAAGATGGGTGAAACTACAGATGAACCTCACAGGGCTGTGGTGGGGTAAGCGGGACAGCGCACATAAAGCCCAGGGCCTGGCACATAAAGCCCAGGGCCTGGCACATAAAGCCCAGTGCCTGGCATGCTGGGAACGCTTTATCACAGTGTGAGGACTGGATATCCCTCTCTCCTTTCAGTTACACAAATACCAGGCTCTGTGTTAGGAGCAGAGATGGAAAGACCTAGTTCCTGCCCTGCTCTGGTAGAGCTCAGCACCTACAAGGGACTCCACCACAGAACACACAGACAACCCTACTCCAACATGCAGAGCAGTATTACACACGGACATACGACAGGCTCCGAGCACATGGGGGGAAGGCGTCACAGACGAGTGCTGTTTAAGCTGGCCCTTGAAGGGCGCGTAGGAGTTTGCTAGCCAGACGAGAATCCATCTAGGCACATGGATAACAGGAAAAATAGCCAAGAGAAATGCAGAGGAAAGTAAGTTAAGAGAAGGGTAAGTAGTTCACTGTTGCTGGAACATCAAAAGCAAAGACAGGAGCTGGGTTGTGTGGGGACAGGGGCACTGTCAGGAAGGGCCTA